CCAGCACTTATTTTTCCAAGTAACTATTAAGCAAATTTGATAAAGTGTATCAGAGACAAACATTTACGACCAGTGAGGACTTCCTTTAAAAAAATGAATGATGATAAAATACCAATCCAAAGGTTGTCTACTATATTATCTAGTGCGATACGACCGATCAAAGTACATTAGTTGGTTGTATTGTAAGTATCGTAGCAAGTGGCGTTCTATAGTCTGCCTACCGCCATGGGAGACAGGTTATGTATGTATTAGATATAAGTATAATAATATTTGAATTACTATACAATAAATAAAGAAAGAAAATAAGTAAGAACGTTAGGCGCATAATAAATTAACTATTACCATAAGGAGACAACAACTGGGTCCAATACAACGATTTCTGTTAGATGTCAATTCGAACTCACGAAGAGAGCTCGATCACATTCTCGCCCGTCATTGGTCGGAATTGTTCGCATAACCAATGACATGGCGGACCACGATTGAGGTCACTTCAATCTTTAGAATTGAAAGTTACAGAACAGCCTAATTGCTTCCGACCTATCGCAAAGGTCTTTAAAAGAAACGATTCTACCCAAAATTTGCTATAAACGATAATGAAATCAGTTGCTTATCGATCTGAAACAAGTTCTTAGTTATTGGGGCACGTGATATCACTGATAAGCTTATCTGTTATCATACAAACTGATCTGTTAAAAGCTCAAAATAAAGGTTTTGTTTTGAAACTGCTAAATGAGATACATTGACGTTAAGCGTTAACTAGGTACTTAAGACTATATCGCACCGTCGACGGGTTTGCCAGTCGCTGGCAACCCGTCGACCGTGCGTGACAGCTCTTATAGTTATAACAAACACTGACATCATTGTTGTCCAAAAGTATAATCTTTATCTGAAGGAAAAAATATAGAATTAAGTCGAGAATATTTTTTAAGTAACTTTATGGTGTGTAGTTTTTATTTCAGGAATAAAAATGAAGGCTCTGTTATCCCGCCTAGCTTAGTTAAAAACTTATTTGTTACTTTTATCAGGCGTAGTGGCGTCAATGATAAGCCTTTTATCAGATTTGCTGTCTAATGAAGTTTAGAACAAAAAAATGTATGACACAATTGTGTATAAATATGATACTTTATTATGTTATCTTTATGCCTTGAGAGGATGTAACTAGCTTACTGTTTAAGGCTTTAACCATATATCTGTCTTTGTTTATATTTGTCATTTGAGCAATGTTGTGTATACAGACTTAGCTATACTTGACAGCCATTAAATAAGCTCCACGTGGAACTTCCAACTAGGTATATTCTTCGTGAATTCTTGAGAGCAACATTGATTTCAAAGAATATAATATGTAGCACCGATAACCATTGAGCTAGAACTGATGAAGAGCGGCTGCGTTTGGGCTAACTTTAACTAGGTAAATTGACTAGGTATATCCGCAATGTGCCTGGCAGCGGTTGGATGTCAAGAGCTAGAAATCAAACTCGCATCACACCAGACTCAATGGTATTATTGGTGAGACCTGTGTCCAGCAGAGGAACGGGAACAGGCTGATGATGATAGAGTAGCAATTTACCTAGTTAGCTATAACAAAACGCATTACTATTAAAAAATGTAGAACATCTCTTTACTGCAATTAATTCAATAACTAACTACAAACGAAATCTTCATCATCTGATACAAAACTCAAATCAAATATTGATCCTCGATGCGTAAGCAAACGTTGAAAACAAACTAAGCGACCCAAAATCGCACAACTTCGTAATCTGAAGATCTAATAATACATTGGCGTACTGTACTAATTTTGGAATTGCCAAAGTACTTACTGTTAACATTCATTTTGATTAAGCTCGGCTTTCACTCTCAATATAGTCCAGATGCTCTAAATTCCACATGTTCGGAGCTGGGCAATGTCATTTTGTCTTCTACTTGTTTTACAAGAGGAATTTACTTCCATCCATTTGAGCGTGCCGTATAAACCTCGGATGGACGCGTTTCCAAAAAAATGTTGCCTTATTTTCATGTGATGCTATAAAATTGTACTCCTTATTTTTCTTGGTCAGTGATATAACAGAATTCGAAATTCAATTAAAAAGATCTGCTATTCTGTTTCTAGTACGTGCGGCTAATGTTTTTAGTATGGTTGAAAACGTTAATCAATTTCTCTCTTTGTGGTCCAATTATATCACCTGCAGATTGGCTGATTACAAATTACGGTGGGGGCGGCAGAGCGTTATTTTGTCATATTGCTCACACTTACAATCGGGATCGATAAATCATAACAAGATACTGTACTAAAAATATACATGACTAATCGTATTTTTTGTTCGTAGTAACCAAATTGCTAAAGTAAAGTATATTATGGGTGCATCGATTGCTTTGACGCAAGAGATACGTTATCACTGATTGGAGCGAATGACAATTTTCTGTCCAATATCGGACTTAGATGTTCAACCGAATGAATTTATTATTTTCTTGTATTCTTTTTAATATTCATAAGATCTTTTGTTTGATAGATAATAAGTATGTACGTACTTACATACTTTATGCGTCTTAAATTGTTACAGTTACCTCTTTTTCATCACAAGTAGTTATTATTTTTATCTTTCTCGATTATAATTTTGTCAGTTAAACATCAAAGCCGCTTGAGCAATAAAAAGTAATTACTTCTTCAGCAAACATTGAATTTCCATGCTAGTTAAATACGCTACTATTAACTGTGGTTTATTTAAAGATTTAGAACTTGTTTAATAGTTAACTAAATGACTTGTTAGAGGAGATAGACAGTTAATTCTGTGTAGTAGTAATAAGTGAATGCTGACCGCTATCTGAATACACATAATATTAAATACACATATTAAAGTGAGTATGTATACACAGATAGACTGTTTAAATTAAACCTTTGTTTCGAATGAGGCGCCCGGCGGCCCACAAATGCGTTGTGTTGAATATCTATTAGTTTTGACGGCTGACACAATAAACGCTGCGATACATATTTATAACACACGGCACTCCCGATGAACTTTCAAGAAAGTTGGATGAGGAATTGGGCATTGACAGTGGTTTAAGTGTTTTCCTGTATGGTTTCCAAATGGACACTGTTGAGAAGCCACTACCAATATCCATAGTCCACTGCGATGTAGAATTAACCATTATTATTAATTGTGTAACAGTCTGAAAGTTCTAGAACAACAGTTCACGGCTGCAACATCATCCAATCATGACGATCAAAAACTACACAGCTCTGAGAGAACCCAATTATAATGATTTAACGATATTATTGTGTTTTCACTCTAGCCTCCTTAATTTGCGTGGGTAGCGCTGTGAACACTTGGGTACTGCATATAGGTAACCCATATTCTTCTCTAATTGTGGCAATATGTTCCATGTCATAGTTAGTTAAGAGATGTCCTAATCAGAACAGCTCCATAATCCTTACAAAGAAACTTCTGGAACAAATGTATTAAGAGGCTTCTAACTAAGATACTAATGTAGGATGATGTCTTCCGGGTAAAAATATAATGATGGGAAGTTCTCGGTGAAATGCGCCTCTGGCGGTTTCCAGTCGATCTAAAGAAAAATAAAAAGTTTATCCCAAGACAAATCTTAGGATGAAAATTGCCGTCGAAAATTGAAGTGAAGTTTTTTCGAGTCAGATCAAAAATTCCGCGTCTCTCGTCCTCGTGATGCAAACGGTGTTTTGCGGACCTAAATTATTCAATTTAAAAAGTTTATAAAGCCTTGGAGTATCATCATAGTCTGACCATGTTGAACAATTACGTTGCACTCGACAACATCCACATTTAGGTCAGTTCTGTTGCCTCCACGTGTGACATATTTATAGCGTTTATGTTGTTGTTGTTGTTGCATTCGGTTTCTGCGTGACTTTTGCTCGTCAAAAGAAGTGTATTCATTTTTTAATGCTTAAAATGTCTCATATGAGAAACGGTCTCTTGCCTCATCTGTTTGTTTGTCCGCAATAAGCTCAAAATTACTGCTTTACGAGTCCACTGGCTGGTGGAGATAAAATCATTTTTTAATGGATTGAAGTGTTGTAATTGATTTAGATTTGACTACCTCAGGTAAAGTTCCGAGCAGAAAATCAGTTTAACTCGTTGAGTACCGTCATTATAGACACAATTAAAGAACAATAGGTTGCGGTCACCGGTGACCGCTTGGTGTGTGCCTTAGATTTTTTCGTTGTTGAACAACTTGGTCATTACGATAAGTTATTTAAGAAAAAGTTTTTATGTGATTCAGAATACTTTTTTTATTTATGTTCTTGTCTTGAAGGAATCCAGTGTCTGATCTCATTAACGAGAGAACTACATCCTGTCGTTTTGACTCAAGTGACTCTTTTTTATGTAATTATATTTATTTTAAATATGTGTTCATTAACATCGAGAAGCTTAAATTGCACTGTCTCATGATTAGTTAAATAAAACTAATTGCGTTATGTACCTATTCGTACTAATTTCTTTTATCTAACTTGGTATTTTTTGATTTTAATTTTTTTTGTATCAAAAGTATCCGCACGTGCATTAATCGGACATTGATTATGTGTTTTATGATAATGTCAAATTATAACGAAATCCCTTTTTAACCTACTATACTACATCAATATTGGAGTCTTGTGTTTAGTCAAAATGAACGGTAATTTTCTAGAAATGTCAAGACATTACAATGTTTTCTCAACAACTTGACACATACCACTTAAATGTAACTTCTAATCTATCACCTTTGGTCCAACCAAGATAAGTCGTCAACGTGGAAAAATCAATAAATATGGCGCATTATCGTTTTTCTCTTTTAATTTCGATGCAATATGAAAATAGGTTTATTAATTAAAGTTAAAATAATTCACAAAATAAAATTATTGTATATCAGTCGCCAGCTAGACTTACCAGGGTCGAATAATTCAATGTTATCTAATAATTTTGTTATTATCAAGTTTTTGCTACTATGGCTTTTATCCTCAATATAGATAAGAACATCTTTGCTGCTATCAGTTGCTCGCTGTTTTTGTACCTCGATGGACTGTTTTGCGGTTCCCTGTAAAACGAATGCGAGATTTCGGATTCCAAAATGCTCGTAAACGGTTTTGGCGAGCAGTATCCTTTGGAATGCCCCGTAACTGGGGTGTATGAGGATCCAGGATGGAATTTGCAGTGCCCGATGGCAAGTCAGTGGTCTCGGCAACCGGTTAACCCTCAGTGTAGTTATGGTGATTATAATCAGAACCTTCAAAGTCCATCAGTGCAGTGTTTTAGACCGTTCGTTCCTTACGCACATGAGAATGTGGTGCCGTATTATCCAGTTCAGGAAGTGTACCAGCAGCCAGTGCAATATGTTCCACCTCGTCCGATGATCCATAACTTGCCCTGCCATGAGCAGCCGGCTTGGGATTATAACAGCATGTGCTATAACGTGGATGGTCAGCCATGTCAGTACACTACTGTAGTCGACTTGGAGGATTTTATGTAAGTTGAAGTCTTAATCTTTCACTTGCCGTGCTTATTTTCTTTTCGCCGTGTTTACTTTAAAGTTATAAATAAACAAAATATTTTGAGGTATTGTCCGAAATTGAAACGCACGTGTTTTTTTTTTAACCAATGACTATCGTAATTACGTAAGCAATTTTTCTTTTTGTGACCACGCTGTCAATGAAATCCAAAAACGAAATAATGGTTTCTGTGTATCAACAAGAAGCATCTTTAAATAAATAAACATGAAATGATACCTTTATTGTAGGCTTCCGCTGTACATCTTTTAAACAACGTGGTCTCATCCAAGCTCATAAAAAAGAAGTATTACATTACAAAGAGCTCTAATTAACGAGAAAACTATGAATTAATCACTTCATTGAAACTCTTTGAAGCCGTCACCAGCAGAGTTAGACGCAGCGTTCATTCAACTTGTGAATATGTAGCTCTACTGCTCAAAACACGTTTCAAATGTTGTTTTGACTGGTTCTGTTTCCCGTTGATTTATTGCAGCACAGAAATACACACTACGGACATATTAACACAAACTAATTTTTTCAAACTTCTAAGAAATGCAATAACTACTGATAATTGGGCTTTTATTCAAAAACTTTTTAATTCTAACTCGCGGAATAAAGAGGTAAATAGATACTACACATTTTATTGAACAGCCCACTTCAATGTTTTGGACATTATCTAATCGGCATCTTTTTATCTTATTGCTTTGCCAATAAGGTTGAAAATGGGGCGATGTATAAGTATCGACGGTGAAATGATGTTTTTACCCTTGCAGTTACATGAAGGTTACATTTTCATTGGTTTTGTAATCAGTGGAAGTCCGCCAAAGATTGTATCAGGTGATGCCGCGTGATGGGCTACATTCCTTCAAAAGCACATGGTTTTCTAAAGAACTGAACCTCGTGATTTTCTGAACTAAAAATATCGGCCATTATTCGGAAGTCACATGAGGAGTTTTACTATTTGTCAGTGTAGCCCACTCAATGTTTAGACATCCAATGAAGAAAGTGGAAGTAATAAAAAATGGTCTGTGAAATGGTGGTTAACTACTTTATCATTGGCATAAAAACAGTTTGTTTTTGCTCAACAAAAACTTGGAACTTAAACGTGGATCAGACACGAGTCTGTTGTCCGATAGGGATGATAACGTAACCTCTCTATGAGTGACCCACGCATCAAGGTATCAACAGCGTGTTTATATGATATCACGTCTTAATGATAAACTTTGTCACGTACATTTAACGCCGCACTCACTGCTGATTGGTGACTTTTTGGAATAAAAACACCGGCTTGTCTGATAAATTCTTTATCTGTCTTTCTCCTGGCTTTCTTTAACTAGGGTGTTGTTTTCTCATCAATGAGTATTGTACAAAATTACATTAACGAGACAACAATGAAGGCCTTTCTTGTCATTAAGAGCTGAATCATCTGTAGGCTTTGACTAGCGGTAGCTAGATCTTAAAAGCTGAGCGAAATGGACCCTCAGAGCTTGGACCACCCTGAAGAATTTCCAAGATTTTACTTCAATCATAGAGTTCAAAATAGATTTTCCATGTTTGTGTCTCCATTGTTTCCAAACAAAGTAAAGCATGCGTGTATCCACGCGGAAGAAATCCAAGCGTCAACAATGTTGCAAATGCTTAGTTATCAAATTGATACTAGCACTTCATATAATCTCAAGACATAAAGGGAGCTTTAACAAGCAATCATGTCCAATAAATGAAATTACAATCTTTATTGGGCATTAAACAAACATAATACTTCGTCTTACAATTATCGCCATGTTGACTGACATCAATTTTGTTTTATAAAATGGCGCCTAACTTGCCCCAGGCCACGCGTCACGTTTCCCATCTAGATTAATTACTTTTTAATCGGATAATAATAGTTTTTCATAGGAATAATTACAAAATTTAAATTGAGGAAAATCATTAAAAATATTTAATGGTATTGTTTACGTGGCCTTCTTTATTTTGATTTTGCCTAATAGTTATTTTGAAAGTCGTTAAAATCAATCTTAGTGCTGATGTCGTCCTGATTTATAGCAGAATTGAATTATATAATTAATTCAAAACCCAGACTGGCGTTGTTTATTCGTTTTCTTATTTCTTGGAAGAATAAATTCAAATTTATGGCTTTAGAATCACATTATACAAAATGTATACGTGCAGGTCGGGCACGGTTCCTAAGATGCCTCGAGAACATTCTTACTCGTCTAACAACATTCGTTTTATTATCCAATAGGTGTCAATTTGTACCAAACCGTATCAAATAGCCATTAGGCCCTTTTAAACTTGCCTTTCATTCCTAAATTAGAACGAAAATTTCTAACGAAACATGATTGAAAATTTATTGTCTGTCGTACTATTATTTGATTTAATTGCACAAAGCGATGTTTCCTCTAGTAACCTGTTTATTTGTTTTCTAAGGAACTAATTAATTTATCGTTTTCATTATCAACTTGAGTTGTTTTTGTTGAGTAATAACAATAAATACTTACCACTGCCACTAACAGTGTTTAGTGTTTCGTAAATGATTCCGAAATGTCATTGAAGTTGGTCAGTTCCAAAATTATCAATATCTCTCTTTTTATCTTTAATTAAAGATTATTTGTTTTGGAAATGATACAATTCGCAAGTATTACGCTGTGTACGATTGCATCTGTTGCGTAACATTGATACAATTATTTGAAAACAAAGAAATAGGATGGATCCTAGAATTTTAGTAAAGAAAAAAGTAGACAACCATGTAAGAACCTTAATCATTATATTTTTTTATGATTATACTAAAAACTTTATTGAACCGTTTCAAATCAGGTTTCAACAAAATTGTTTAAGGAAATCGTTGAAAATATATCGGAAGTAAAACTAAACTGTTGAACTCAGTCCCGGAAGGAAATCTCACAAATAATTTTATTGAATGCAACTGCAAAAACAACCAATTCAATATTTATTCAAGTCCACTGTATCACTTTTAACTACATTGATTTTAATTAGTCTTTGTTCGCAAGATCCTACATAGTAGACTTCCTTAACGACTGTGATCTTGATAGGTCCATACATATTTATTACTTCTGTCTAGCCTGCGTACGCGACTAGAAACAAATCGGTTTGCAGTACTAACGTCATCGCGGACCCTCAATTGGTAGCCGGGAGCGTTATTTTTGCAATCAGCGCCAATTGCGTCCTTACGTACCTAGTTAGTTGCACCTCCATTAGCTATTGTGAGACTATCCGCTCCTCGTTCCTCAGTTATGACGACATTGACCCAAAAATCTGTTTTATCACGTGTTTCCTACAAAGTAATAATGGCTTCCAACTAAAATTCGTTAATTTTGTATGTATTTTTGCAATTATCGAATGAGTTACGATAAACAGGTGATTCATTTGCAAAAAGTAATGTTGAAATGATAAATTATCGAATTAAACATTTTGTTATTTTGCACTTGTCGAAACCTGTTACGGAAGACAATTTAATCGATTTGCAACGATTAATCTGTTGCTATTCCGCGTTCATAATTTGCTTTCTCTCAAAAATAATAATTTGTTGTAATTATGCTCTTTAAAAGGTAATCTGAATGATTTTAATAATTCAACCGTAAATGCTTCCACTATATTTGGGAAATTCCACTCGGCATATTTCTACGTCTACCGTTTATCTCCCCTTAGTAACCGATTTAAGTTAGAAACACTTACGATAAACCATATCTACCTTGTATCCACTTTTCATATTATCATTTCTATTCATATTGCCTTTAAGTTCATTTTTAAATTATCCAATTTTGTTTCTTTGGGTCCAATGACGAGATCAATTTAAAATTCATAGGCTACTGAAATGGGAACTGCCGTTTTGGATTACGTCGCAATAAGTCGAATAAAATAGGGCTATGCAGGATTTAAAACTTTGTGTTTAATAGATTAATTTAATAGATTAAACAGACATTTTATATCAAGAAAAAATAACCGTGTTAATGTACATTAACGTCTCAATTAAGGCGAACAAGTTTTTCTTGGACGTTTTATTCCACTAGCCACTAGCGATTTAATGTTCCGATCGCGTTTCCGAGAATTATGTATATTAATAATGTCTGCAATTGTTTACGGCTTAGTGCTCCTAAATTCCAGAGCTTCATATATTTTTCCTCAATCTATTGCACTCTACCATGTGACTTTGTTATCAGTAACACCAAATTTGATATCGACTACATTGTTTACATATACATATTGTACACCGTCTGCTTCTAATTTTTGTGTATTTTGTAGTAGCTTATACACTTTATTTTTCTTCGCATGACAATATTAATTTGCAGTCTCCAAGCGTCGACCTGAATGCTAAATTGAACCTTCAATTCCCCTTGAGTCTTCAACAAGCGCAGATTTAATAAATTGCTGTCGTCATGATGTCCACAGATTTTCCAATTGTTTATTGTTAATGTTCATTGAGATATAATTGAAGTGTTATAAAATTCTTCTGTGTCTGGTTTTAATTCTTTATCACTGCTGATTTCTGATTCCAAAAACAGTCCCTTATCTTAGTAATTGCCCTTGTTTGGCATTGAAATTTAATATTCATGACATATATTCTTATTACATGAAAACTCATTTTTCCCACTCTAGTTTATACAATTGTGAAAACTACGGAAATCCGTTCAGTAGTTTGAGACTTTATCGCGTACAGACAGACAGCAAGACGTGATGAGGAAACAATTTATTTAAAATACAGATAAGTGACGAACAACCTCCAACCAAAAATTTTATTGTAGGGTTTTGAAAGCGGCAATACTTCACATAAGAAATTTCATTGACTACTTACTTTATATCTTAATATTATATTGTTTAGTAGATAAAAATAAACTAAACGCCGATAACAACGGGTTTATTCTTCTGGAACTTGCATTAAAGTACTGTTACAATGAATTGTGAAATTTTTCCTAAACAAAGATATTGTAGATTATGCTTTATTAATATACGCATTATACATCAAGATTATTGCACTCAAATGCACGATATGCATTATCAATAGCTGCAAAATGGCAGACAAAACAAACGTGGATAAGAAAGTTATTATCTCGCCACTATATTACGTGCGGATCAATAGCGTTTTGGTCTTTGGACCATGAGTTATAATTGGGCAGCTGTGAAGAACATGCTTATCCAAGTATATGATTCTAAGTTCTGTGTGTTCTTTTAATTATGTAAATGTAGGGAGCATCGTATTATAATCGACGCTAGCGCCATTTGGCCTTCATCGTTTTAGGTCACCCGTCAATGATTTTATGGATGTTTTACAACTTTTATAAAAATTAGACCATTGTTTAGTTTTGCTTTTGTATCGTACCTACACAACTGATTACGTTTATCTTTCATACTGTAAACTTTTCCTATGTTGCAAGATCTATATTAATTGTATCAATGGATTAAACTATATGTTGGTCTTCATCAACTATTTCCGTATTAATCATAATTTTTCTTTGACAGCGTCTTTTTCCTAATCAACATCATAAACAATATTGACCCTCAATTTTCCTTCATTGTAAATGACTACGTAACCATGAAAAGTTTCACACGGGTCCATATCATAAATAAATTATAACGTATGACTTGTACGAGAACGAGTAGCTTCACGAATTCTTAACACGTATGTATGTCTACTTACGTCAATGTACGTCGTCGATTCGATATTAAAGTCTGCTCTAGCTAAGCGATTTGCGTTAGCGGACCATAATCTTAAGTTCTTTCGTCATTACTTGGATATAAGTACCTATAGGTAATGTGCTCTATAAAAACATTAATGTTTTGGAACTTATGTTTTTATTAAAACTTCTAAAAAAGGGCAGAAGAAAATGTAATGGCATTTTCTTCTTTGTTGTTAGATAATTTTGAAATTACATTTTTGTTGTTAGATAATTTCTCCAATTTTTGACCAACTTCAAAGTGAAGAAGATTATTAAATCGTTTGATGAAGTAAAATATTTTGCCTTCGCCTGAAGGAGTCTTATACATATCACAACATATGGTTCAGGGTAAAAATAAATGAATCATACGCAGTTCCTACGAACATGTAGAATAATTTTGTAAAAATACCTGTTACTGCATTCAACATTGGCATTGTTATTTAATTTCTACGCATTTTACTATAAAAACTGATGAGGTATGAATAAAATTGGTAACGTTTAGTAATATGATGATCATGTTTTTGTATGAAAAACATTTCTTTTACCGCATCCGAATGTGGTGTGATTATTTTCTAAGTATTGTTTGTGTACAAGGCTTATTTATAAGTAATCAGTAGTTTTATATTCCACAGTGCAACGTAATTACGTAATATAAACTGCCTACCGTTGGCTAAGTGGTCTCGGATTTAATTCCAAGATCTGTGGAAATATTGTTAAACTTTTTGGTTTTTAGACTTTTTAATTATAAGGTCTTAAATTTTACTAGGTGGCAATTATCTCACCATTGTATTTCCCTCGTACGAAAGATAACTAACTCTTGAGCGTGAGAGTCCACGGCTGGATTAAAGATCACCTTTACATAGTATTAAGAGGGTTGGTCCAATATCCACGGTTGGAGACGTTGGAGTGTGTTCGCGATCAGTTTCTCAGAAAGACGGGAAGTTTGTTGAAGTTGAAGTGACGAAAAATGAGTTCCATTCAAATTGTGCACCTTTGCTACTAAACATTATACTGACACAACGTGAGTCGTGACGCCATGACACTTTTTCCACGAAATGCTACCATCATTTCAAATCTATCACGCATCGTAGACATTATTACGCAAGTAATCTATGATTGTTATTGCCCGATATAAAAATACTGATAGAATATCTATAGTTAGACGTGGTTGTCGGTAACCCAGATAAGTAGGTAACCATTTCGGCCATATTATTATGTGTTTCAATTATACGGGATTGTGACTCAAGCCGATTGCAGACCAAGAGCTTGGTCTTCATAGCCGATTCAGTTTTCCATACTTGTCGCAGTTTGCGGTCTGTAAGTACATAAATATATGGAAAACAGCGAACTAAGCTAAATTAACTTAGCTTTGCTCTTGGTCTGCAACCGGCTTTGGTATCAGATATTCAGTAGCCCAGAGCTGCAGACGATTTAGCGGACTACTGGGGCTCCGGCGGGTGGTTTTTAGTCAGTAAGAATCTGACACTTCCCACCTTACTCAAGGCGAGAGAAGTCATTGGATGATTTTTCCTCCTAAAACAAAACAAAAGAGTTTCATTCAGTAGTGAATATCTACCATTTGATGATGATTGCTGTTTTACCTACATATCCATTCTATCAACTGTGGTATTTTCAACTACCTGCGTTTTTGTAGTAGTCCTTTTGCGATCTCGTTATGTTCAATCCAATTTTAATAACCTCTGTTATAATAGGTTTACAGCAGGATTTTTTTTTTATAAAAGCTCCCCTCTGACTAGAACAAGATTTTTAAACGTAAGAATACTTTGAATAAGTTTGTAATAAATCAAAATGGCCGTTAAATATTAATAGTTGGTTGCACCTGTTTTGACTGAGATACCTACGCCTAATTACTGAAACGCCACTAAATTATAAGTCGCGCTTAACTATAGTTCTGTCCCTACAAATTCATTGTAAAATGACAGAGATGGCACGATATTTAAGTACAATTTAAAATTGAGTAGCCTTTCAGAGGGCTTAGTTAGTACGAGATTGTTTTACGTTTAGAGTAATTGAAACGCGTACGCGTTCGGCGATGTGATTGGTCGGCTCCAACGAAGCAACCAATAAATCAGAGCGCCGAACGCGCGTAAAATAAACTCGTACTAAGGCCTCAGTATTCGGGCGATAGACTAGATCATATTATAAGATCAACAGCAATCATAAGACTACCGCAGTTATTTGTCATACAATCCTTAGCATTCCTCGTAGACATAAACAAAACGAAGTCGAAAGAATCTTTGTAACCAACAAAGACACGTAAAAAGGTTATATCAATCCTATTGTGTTTCGTAGGCAGATATGACAAATGCTCTTATTCAATAGGCGATATAGTAAAATTATGATATATGACATATAGGTAATATTTCTAGTTGTTTTTCCTCAAAAACAACCAGATATGTGTGACTGTTATAATATTAGACCAAAAATAGATATTAAATAATTAATACCGATATTGTTATCATAACAAACACAGCCCCCAAACCGCATCGGTCGTTAAGACTACAAACTTGAAGAACATCAGTTTAAAAATGCATTTGTGACTTTAGTGACGCATTTCTTAAATACGCTATTTGGAACAGATATGGCCGACCGTTCCTAATGACCAATTAATGGAATATAGTTAAAATCATAGAAGTTGTAACTCAGTGGTTCGCCAGCAGTTGAGGTTGAGGTTGCAATTAATTTCCAAAAAATAATTAAGTATTGAAAAGGTGCTATAAGTGTCTAAGATGTGTTTACTAGATTCACCCCAATTTCCAAATGATCGGGATAAATTGTGTGCTATTAAAAAAAGGTAGTTGGTATTTTCGTATTTATTTATTCAATATTTTTTATAGTATTTAGGTATTACGATTTAAGTTTTTTATTATTGTGGAACTGTAAGGAAGTGTTCATGCAATCATTTTGAATGGTTTTAAAATATCGTACGTAAGCGACAATTTTTAATGAATTTTGTACGAGTATCCACATTTGTCGTCCATATTTTTTGCTTTAACCAGCAAATTCATTAATTATAAAAAAATGACTGTGATTATATTGTGAATATTTTAATCTCTCTTTTGCAAGTCGAAAGAATTTATATGTATGTTTATGGAACCACCAAATTTTATTTTTGGTTTCAAAACATTATTCTACAGAGTGTTTTATTTTATGTGCGCAACAATTTCCATTTTAATTTATTTCGTGTTGTCTGTCATAGCGTGACGTTTTTGCCTTGATGGAAAACAATAGCGCTCAGTTTTGCTCTAATTTTTCCGCTCAATCATTTTAGCTTGAATATTTATACAGTAACATTGTTGCTAACATGAAATCGTGATTGAATGTGTTTTATTACGGTAACAATATGTCTTGTGTAGAAGTAATGGATTTTTAATAAATTTCTATTGTTAATTATGTGACAATATTTAAATAAATTGGTTGTGCTCTTATTTTACTTATATTCTATATCAGAATAAAATCACTTTTCTTCATCTTAGTTTTGAATAATACACTTTCTTCATTTTACTTCTCCGTTTAGATTTGTGGTCCAACGTAAATAAATCAATTTCAAAATTTGATTTGTATTGTATGTACATAAGTATAATTTTTACTCAAGAATTCCTATCATTATAGACCCTATCAACAATATAGTAACCGCAATTCTATTCTAACTGATTTTCCACTAAAAAAAGAACCTCTATTTTAACTATCTCTTCTCTTTCTCCCCAGGAATAATGAGAAAAGGAAGGAGAAATCGCGGGTGGCAGCCCGATGTCGACGCACTAAGGAGATGCAGATCTTCGCAGAGCTCACTGCTGCTCTACCAGCTCGTAAGGAAGAAGTGGAGCAGCTTGACAAAGCCTCCGTCATGAGACTTGCCATATCTTACCTGAAAGTGCGGGATGTGGTGTCTTTGCGTAAGTAATCTACTTTTTTATAACAAGCAAGCGTTTATAATAAATCAAAACCGTAGTGATATATACTAGTACACCTTACCTACTTAGGACACCCGGTATATATTGATGAAAATCGTACAAGTAGTTTTTGAGTTTATATCGTTCAAATATAGACAGATAGACGCAAAAGGGGGCTTATTTTTATGATATATCAGAATGTTGAGGGATTATTGTTGGGAATTCAATATGGAATGTGTTTTTGTGCATCGCGTAATCAAATTCTATTTTGGGCATGCATACACAGTTCTATGTACCTATACCTTAAATGGCAATTTTTCAAGAAATGCCTAATGGCGTAAATTTTTTCAATGCAATTTTTACCATGCCATGTTTTCTCTAGTCTTTATATCAAGATCTTAAATGCTATAGCACGCTCAACAAATATTTTTAATGTTCCGATACAGACAATTAATAACAACGGGACCAATTTAGTCGCATTAGGAACACCATTAGATTTTCAACTCTATCTTTTTGTCATAAAGTCGAAACGTCTGTATTTACTTCAGATAAACATAACAAAGCATATATTTATCTGAGACACGCGAGAATCACGCGCACTCAATCATTCCCACACCTTAATGCACTTTGTATCAGTCGAGCTTTAAGTAATTCCTATCGCTGTTTGATAATAATAAAAATAATGCATTTATGCACTGTTTCTTTAGTCACAAATCGTATATAATCATATGAGTTTTATTCGAGTTAAGTATACTACCGTGTCGTGGTCGGTATTTAGCAAAAACTGTAGGCCATGGACCATTCATATCTATACTAATATTATGAAGCTGAAGAGTTTGTTTTTTTGTTTGAACGCGTTAATCTCTGGGACTACTGGTCCGATTTGAATAAGTCTTTCTGTGTTGGATAGCCCATTTATTGAGGAAGACTATAGGTTATAAAATATCACGCTACAATTAATAGGCGCCGAGAAGAGCGATTGAAACCGCGTGGAAGTAGCTAGTTAGACTTTTACAAATTAAAAAAATACTCGCGACTCTGTTGTATGAAAAGCTGAGATGTTTTTTTTTTAATTTCCACGACTTGGGTGGGGCTCATAGGCATTGATACAGAGAAAACCAATTTTATTTTAAAATATTGATGTTATAGTTGATCGAAGATTGATGAATGACTGCCTCGTTGGCCGAGCGGGCGTAAGTGCAATTGCTAGGCAAGGGCCTCGGGTCGGTTCCCGGGTCGGGCAAAGTATTTTTGGGTTTAAAAAGAATCTCAGTAGCAGCACGGAGTCTGAAATTGTGCCTGCCATATGGCATTAGGCTGACCACTATTACATGGAAATCATAATATTAATTGTGAACAGTGAGTGAGTGTTACAGTGTACATTGGCATTACCTAAGTGTCGCAAAGTGCACCCCTTTTTGTTTTTTTTTTAAAGGGGGAAAATCATCGAATGACTGCTCCCGCCTGGGTGAGGCGGGAGGGAGTGTCAGACTCTTACTGACTAAAAACCACCCCGTTCCTTCTCCTGCACGTCGAGCCGGAGCCCCGGTTACCCGTTAGGTTCTCCGCGACCCCTACCTGCCCGTCGGGGATAAAAGACGTGATATTATGTTGATCGAGGATTGATGTATAAAAAGATAAACCACATAATACATTCTCAAAGTGGATTAACTACTGGATGTTTTTGTTTAAGTCATGTCTATGTTTGTGTATTACGCGATGTCACCTTTGTATATCTATTTTATAATATTATTATTGGAGATTACTTAAAGCTTAGTTAGGTATATAGTTATCTATCATTTATAGTCAATAATAACTCTAAAGTTATCTCTAGCAAAGCCTTAAATCCTTAGGTAGTACGTGCAATGGAGTTTTCTTTGATATTGAAACGACAAAACATCAAATAGAAAGCCTTAAAATTTGTTAAGTTCGTTTTTGCGATGTCGAGATGGCGCTAGCGAGGTGTGGAGTGTCTGTTTGTAATATTAAAATAATCGTTTTTTACTACATGCATATGAATATACATGCGATACACACAACTAAATAACATTTTTTTTCAAAATTTTGTCTTTCCGTCTGTTTGTACTGGCTTATCTCTGGAATAGCTGGACCGATTTTGCAAGACTTTTATTGGCAGTTAGCTGATGTACCAAGAAGTAACAAAGGTTCCTTTTAATTTGGAAAATTGAAAAAGAAATAAAGTTATGTTCTAAAATTCGTATTCTACGCGAACGAAGTCACGGGCAACAGTTAGTAAATAATAATTACAATTTAACTAATTCACAGTTGTTACTCGATAGCATTTAGTCTTGCGACCGGATCGTCGCGGTGGCTTGGCGATATTCCAGCGTAGACTACTATTGTTTAATTTGATTATCATTGCGTCTAAGCCAACAAAGTTCAACGTTCTAGTAAAATATAAACAGTCATGTATTCTGTTTGTATGTAACTGTGACCTGCTTGAACTAAGATATTACGAATCCAAAAATATGTCTTGTTGTCTTCTATAGGTACTTTCTTTAATGAAAAGTACTTAATGTCTATTTTTGTAATGTTCCGTGTAGGGAATGGCAATCTAATCCGCGAGATGTTGTAGATTTGTAGAACAACCCATAACGGGACTCTTGTCAAAGACAAAGCATTTATTTAAATTAGACCATAATTTGGTATTTTTGAAACGTCAACAAATATAAAATAAATAATAGTTTGTCAGGTTGTCCGTCAGTGAAACTAGGTGCTCGTTCCAAAATAGATTCGAATGGAGAAGGACTAGCAAGAAACTCCTTGACTCTAGTTATTGCACCAACAACAACAATGTACTATGATGAATTGATTTTCATTTCGCCTGTGTCTCAGAAATTGCTATAGATAACAGACTTTATTTAAGTTTGCTTATTAAGTTGAAGTTCCAATTAATGTGATTCTAATACTACGACACAAAAAACCTCATCAAATATCGAACTCCAGGTTCTTATAGGATATTATTCGTTAATAATGACTTTGTAGTACATTAAACTGTCAAACACCGCGAGGACACCGGTGACCGCAACCTATTGTTCTTTAATTGTGTCTATAATGACGGTACTCAACGAGTTAAACTGTCAAACACCAAGCGGTCACCGGTGACCGCAACCTATTGTTCTATAATTGTGTCTACAAAACCGGTACTCGACGAGTTAATAATGTTAATTCCTAACTTAAGTATATTATCAAGAGGTTTATACAACGTCATTCGATGATCAGGTCAAAGTACAGGTCTCCACAGATAAATCAAACTCAGTTTTTCATCAGACTAATAAGTGGTTAAGCGAAACGTGTTTCTACACTAGTTTGTCAAGATAATTTTAATAAATATCTTGTGGTTGCGTAGGACCTACTTTGTAGTAGTAGTAGTAGTAGTTCTCGTAGTAGAAAACTTGTGAAACAGGCCCCAAGACTTATCTTTTCTCCTTTTATTACTTACCTTTGGCACAAAATAAATTGACATTAGATTTTCAGGTCTTACCATAGACGTAGGTAATATGACATTATAAGGATGACTAATTACTTCGCTCCAGTTACCTACTAAGGTTTCAGATTAACGTGTTTGATAAACATATTTATTTATGCATTTTCAATAATATGTCACTAATAGGGAAATTCATTAAATATAGTAATAAATAACATTGTTATTCAGTTTAGTTATTATAATATGGTATTAATTTAGCACTTCTAAGAAACTGCAACTTTATGAAGTCATAGTTTAAAGTTACTATGTCTGTTTGACTCCATAACATACTAATAATAATATGAATGCGAGAGTCTGTAAGTTTGTTTTGGCAGAAGCTAATTTAAATATAGAGGAGCAGCACCTTGACTAAGTTATCGATGTTTCGAGTTTTTATCGCTAAAATCGGCAAAGAAACTTATTGTTTGAAAGTTTTAAACTTAAAGTTTCTTTGCTAGATTTGTAACCTGTAACTATTTACGATGATACAAACTATTGTATATAATTCATTGTTTTGTCTGGATACTTTCTAGAAAACGCACTGTAACGCATTGCACTGTCACCTCTAAACTCCTATAAGTACTTTTCAGTAGCCTCGTCTGCGGTAAACCCTTGTTTAGACAATGCACATGTTTAATTTTTGAACGACAAGCTTTTGCCAGTTGCTTCGCTCGCGTGCCCGTGGGATAAAAATACCCTATGTGTTATTCCAGACCATAATCTACCTCTGTTCCAAATTCCATCCCGATCCCTTCAGTCGTTTTGACGTGAAGGAGTCACAAAAAAAAAACATACAAATTTTCGCATTAATAATATTAAGTAGGATTGTCCTTGTTTCCTCATAGGATACATTAAAAAGCACGCGTTTAACCGCAACCAGACTTATTGGTACTTATGGCACGCGTTGATTTAATTTTTCATGGCGCAGGCGCAGCACACGCGCTGTAAACCGCATTGACGTCATACATCCGAACTGTTCAACTGTTCATACAATACTTGCATCCTTGATTGTTTGTAGCAATTTTTTTTTTCATAATTTGACTTCCAAATTTTCTGCTTTATTGACTTTTTGACTATGCGAGGCTGGTATTGTTACCCAATTGAGAAGCACAACGCGTCCTCTGATATCGATCTGTATTGACTCAAAAACACTTTTTGCGTAATCGGTTTATCCAGAATAGTGTACCTAAGTACTTAGATTCAAGTGCTTTTTAATGTACACAATTTTATTTTATGACGGAAAATCCCTGTTGCTTGTATTGCAAAATGAAAAACGTACACTCGCATACCTAAGTTACTATCTATAGTGCCCATCATTGTCCTATAATCAGTGATTATATTTTTTGTGTCTTTTGTTATATCTACATATTTCTCTACTCACATTCTCATCTTTTTCAAAGTAACATCCGAATTCTATCCTAATATAAACAAGGCCTTAACGCAGTGTCTATTTTGGGTCAGAATAACCTCCACCATCTGCATAACGCAGTTCTGGAGTTTCTGCACGAAACAAACACTATTTAAATATGCAAATGAGGCTTATTTATCAACCAACATGTGCAGAAAATGGCAGATTTAAGTAAATCGCTGTACCATACGTATGGACGTGATTTATTCGCATTGAAATTCTGCTACAGTTGCATTGCGACGTCCATTTTGTCCTCAAATTGATGGTGTGGCGATGATGGATAACTATGTGACGCTTAGTAATACTGACTTTCATACAATTATTAGGTATCTCGTAAACATTGGAATGTTGTATTTAACTAGGTACTTAGTTAATTAATAAACTGCCTCGTTGCCGCCTGCCTGCCCAAGTATTACTGGGTTTAAAAAAAAATCCTAGTATTAGCACGGAGTCTGGAATTGTGCCCGGTATATAGCAATATGCTCATCTCCCTATTACATGGGTCTCGTAACATAAATAGTGAAAAGTGGGTGTGACATTGTAGCGTGGCATAATGTGCACCTCTGCCTACCCCTTCGGGGACAAAAGGCGTGATGTTATGTTATGTTATTTAATTAATAAACTTTTGAAATTCTATCTTTTTCTTCTTTGGACCCCTTTGCCTTGAATAAAACAATTGTTAGCTTCTAACTGATAAAAAACAAGTTGTTGTATCTCTTCTAGCATTTCCAAAATCTATTTATTTTGTGCAAATACTTACCTTTTACGAGTTCGTAAGTATAGTTAAGAGCACCTGAATATGGGTAATCTGTACCTTCTTTTGAATTACTGTTGTGACATGTGCAAATGACTCAGTCTTATTTTGGAATCTTTGTTCAAGAGTAAACCTTGAATTGCATACGTGTAAACATTTTCATTTTGTTTGTGTATTGCGTTGCTGTTTCACCGAATACAAAGTATTAATTCTAAACTGCTACATACATAGATACATTTTAAGAAGGGGTTTTATTGGATAGATCTTCTAAATGAGCTGTAAAATAACTACTATATGAAACTGCGTTCTACTTCTCTTATGATTTTCATCCCCAAAGTTAAAATTAAAGCATTTCTTTTAACCATAAAGTTTCAATAAAATGGCAATCTGACTGTCATGACATCTTGGCTTCATTTATTTTATATTTCAAAAAGTAATTAATTTCTATATTAATCAGAAATCTAAAAAAACAAAGCTTTCCAATAGGTAATAATGAATTCCTTATTCTCTTATTCCAGTCCCAGAAACTGAATCGGAGCATCCAAAGATGCAGAACCCTGAAGGCATGGAGGAGGTATCGACAGAGCTCTCATACATGAAGGCTCTGGACGGCTTCGTACTAGTGCTGTCTCAGCAGGGCGACATTGTGTACTGCAGCGAGAATATTGCAGACCATCTTGGGGTTTCACAGGTGAGATATTGCTGCATTATGTTGGGATTAGCATTCTGGTGGATTATAATCTGTGTCTTTTGTACGCTATGCGACTTAACATGTTGATAAACGACCGAAGTTGAAAACTGGTCTTAATCTTAATTATCTGGATCGATCTAGGTTTTGCTAGAAACTGAATAGAATAGAAAGTAATTTCTTCATAATGTTCATTCATAGTTGGAGTAGCTTTTGAAGTAAAGAAACTTGGTTCACCGGAATGAATGGGTCATTAAGATTGACAGATTTCAAATGGTCAAGTTTCATATTATTTAAATAAATATTTAAACTGATTTAAGTACTGTCTTGTTTATCCTTACGTAGGTACAGATGGAAGAAATTCGAATTTTCAGTAAATTTTCCGTCATTTGAGTTTATTTTCATCATTATCGATACCTACAGTCAGATAAAAAATCATCTTCAGATAACATGTCAAAACCAAAGATTATTCGATTCGAGGTTAGCTATACAGGTATCATATTTTTACTATACCTTACCTACTATATTAGTCAGTCCTTAATGCCAGAATATACTAGAAATGATAAGAGCATAATTATTGTGAGCATTATAAATAATCTTAGAATAACATTAATGTGGAGTAGGTCAGAGAGTGACGTACTACATAGCATAACCTCCCTTTCCCCCTCCGTTTTCCTCCAAAAAGACAATCAATTCAATAGTAATTTATCTGAAGTTGCTGGTGTCCAATTGTGTACATGAATGACATTTCATGTGTTCAGTCCAGTCGATTGCTTTCTATCCTTTAAACTGTCAAACACCAAGCGGTCACCGGTGACCGCAACGTATTGTTCTATAATTGTGTCTACAAAACCGGTACTCGACGAGTTAAAATAACAATTTAAATAATTCATACGTTTCATTGTGATAATTATAAAAAAAACCCTGAAAAACCGCATCATGCTACATCAGCAAATATCGCATTCATTGGTTGCTTTAAAAAAATGTCTAATCATTCCACCAATCACATTAGAACACCTTCAAAACCGACCAATGGACGCGCGTTGATTTACATGGCGACGCATACAATTGTATTTTTGACACGTGCCACAAAGAGTGCCATACAGTTTAGTATCTAATTATGGGTTCTTGAATACAAATATACCGATCATCCATAGAAGGGAAACCTCATAAGGAAAGATATTACAATTTATTTTAAAATGTTGTCTGCTAGCCCTGTTTGGATGAATTGTTATTTTAAAGTTATATAAGCACTTGCCATTGCTGATTAAGTTTCTGTTATCTTAACTGATGTCGGAATACTGAAACTCTACTAACTCTAATAACTCAAATTTTAAGTCGCGGTTAAGTATAGTTCTGTCTCCACTAATTCTTTGTAAAATGACAGAGATGGCACGATATTTAAGTATAACTTAAAATTGAGTAACGTTTCAGTATTCCGGCATGAGACATTTAAAATGGAAGTTACGGTAACTAGATTCAACTAGTTTTTACCATGAGCATTGGACATCGCCGGCTTTTCCGTAGAATAAAAAATAGCTTATACACATGTTAATCCAAAATCCAAATCACAATCTACCTCTATTCCATACATCCCAATCCCTTCGGCCATTCTGATGTGATTGCGTATCAAGCACACGCACAAAGATTCGCATTTGTTATATTAGTAAGACTAGCTACTTCCGCGCGGTTTCACACGCTCTGCTCAGCTCCTACTGGTCGTAGCGTGATGTTTTATAGCCTATAGCCATCCTCGATAATAGTGCTATCCAACATAAGCCTATTCAAATCAGACTTGTAGTTACGGAGATTAGCGCTTTCAAACAAAAAAACAAACTCTCCCGCTTTATACCTATACCTCTAATAGTATAAGATGAGACTTAACCAAAGTCTTAATGGCACTATTCTAATGTTGATGATGTAAGATGTTGTTAAATATATAAGAAACCAATACTAGGATACGGATGATGGTGACGTGGTATATATTAATTTAAATAGCTCTGGAATAACCAGTACAAATGTTTACAAGTTGGTCATATCCGGCTATTATCGGAATAGCATCAAAGATTACAATAATCGATTCAATTAACAACGCGAATTGAAAGATAATAATGTGTTGCCAACAAGTTGTTTCTGGTAGAATAAACATCACTAATTCATCAATTTAGAAAGCAAAACCTAGACGTAGGGGCTGTAAAAAGTTGCGGAATAGCATTTGATTCTTTTTAAGAAGATATTTTATAAAGGACTTCAACCATAGTGGCTTCAACAGAATTTGTTGATAAACTTCGCAAAAGTTCTACGCCACAGTATCACACAACTTATGCTAAACATAGGACTATCAAATCCAGGTTAGTTTAAAGAAAAATACGACATACCTAAATATACCAATTTTCCATTGCGTATAACATAACAAAACATCACGCCTTTTATCCCCGATGGGGTAGGCAGAGGTGTACATTATGCCACTGTACAATGTAACACCCACTTTTCACTATTTATGTTATGAGCCCCATGTAATAGGGGGTGAGCCTATTGCCATGTACCGGGTACAATTCCAGACTCCGTGCTACTATTGAAAAACTCAGTAATGCTTTGCCCGACCGGGGAATCGAACCCGCGAACCCTTGCCCGGCAGTCGCATTTCCGACCACTCGGTCAATGAGGCAGGCATTGCGTATAAAATTGCAGAAATCATTGGAAATGTAAGTTCAAAACAGTCATGATGATTTCGTCTGTTTAAGTCTATGATTGAGTGTTATTGTCTCTACCCAATATTTACCCATTATGTCACAATTATAGTTAATAATTATTTGCATTGATACAAATCTTATCGCTTCATGATCATGTTAAAATCATAACATTCATATGAAATAACCATACGTAATAAGTAGAGTGTGAACGTAAACAATATTTGCTAAAGAAAATGTGAAGTGCTAATAATAATCTTTGAGTGCAAATCTGTTTGTTTTGAAGTCACCAATCTCTGGAACTACAATTATAGTATCTTTTATCGCCCACTATCCATAACGTTCAATTGTTGTCTTGAATATGATAGCCAATGGGGGCGCCCCTATCGCTAATGGTGATCTCTTTCCAAGGACTTTAGAGGATTTATGTTTTGGGCATTTCGGTAGTTTAATTAATTGGGATTGTTTGGAATTATTATTACTATAAGGCTATACTTTTTTATGGACTAAGGCGGTAAACAAGCACACGGATAACCTAATGGTAAGCAATCTTCGCTGCCCTTGGACGTCCGAAACACCAGAGGTTTTACGAGTGCTTTACGCGCCATTTGGGGATTAGGAGTTTGAGGATTATAGGGGAATTGAAGACTGGGGAGAGTGGAATGGGGGTAATTAGGTCTCCGGTAACCTCACTCACACGACGAAACACGCAAATGTTATTTCACGTCGGTTTTCTGTGAGGTCGTGGTATCACTCCGGTTTTCTGTGAGGCCGTGGTATCACTCCGGTTTTCTGTGAGGTCGTGGTACCACCCCGGTCGAGTCGGCCCATTCGAGCTGAAGCATGGCTCTCGCACACTTAAAAATGTATACGGAACCGATTTGTTAGGATTTAGGGTTTACAGTTGTGAATTAGGTAGTCGAATAATCCATCTGCAATCTAGATAATTTCTAGACGAATGTAGCCACTATAAAATAACCATATACATTTTATTGGCAAATAAAAATACACTGCGCCAAATTGTAAAACGTTAGATAAATGCCATTTTTATTTGTCCTCAAAAAAACGTAAAATCATCATGATATTTGTTTTTTGTTATCAAGATTAATTATAAATTAACTGTGGGGTGATTGGATGATGATTTGATTACATATCGATGTTTAAAAAATATATTAATGACTATTTATTTCATTGGTCAAAATCATAGCCACAAACAAAATTGACAACTGCGCTACCATGTTTTTTAGGAAATTCCAAACATAACAACTTCTTACAATCGAACTAATAAGAGCACAAAAAATCCTTAAAAATATTCATTCACCTCAGAAACTCAGACATCAATCAATTCAATACACAATTCTTATATTTAAACCCGGAAGGGGAGTCCATTCAAAGATCTCTTTTGAAAGTCTTTCGAGCACTTCCACCCGATGAATAACATTGATTTGCTGGAATAAGGGTATCGCTAATGGAAAGTGTATTACCTCATTAGAAAGCTCCTTAATTTGATTGAAACGCTTCAGTCTTGATTGGATTTAAAATCAAAATCCTTTAAAGCTATGGTTGATTAAAGTGCGGGTAATGTTATGGTCGGAAATTCTTGTGCTAAGTGCTACTTCAGCACCTTCCTTGGGATAAATGTTTCTTAAGTTCTCTTTTGATTGTCGTGGTGGCCCGGAGGTTTAAGACGCCTGCCTTTCATGCTCCAACGGCACGTACCAATGTGTCTTTTTCCGAGTTACATGTACTTTCTAAGATTATCTAGACACTACTGACAAACGGTGAAGAAAAACAGCGTGAGGAAACCTGGGCTTATAATTTCTAATTATGAGTTTGAAACCCGCAATGAGCAACCGTGGTGAATAATGCTCAAGCCTTCTCTGTGTGAGAAAAGGCTTTGCTCAGCAGTGGACATTCTATAGGCTGTTGATGAATAAGTTATATTTGGTTAACACAAACAGTTAGTGACAATTCGTTGCTGCACTGTGGACTTCCACTACACACCAAATAAAGCTTGCCATAATGTCGGTACTCTTGTTTTTACGCGGTTAATACTTGTGTATTTCGATAATAATCTATTGTTCTGATCCTATTATCTTTCGTAAATGTTTCCTAAAAATCCGATTCCGATGATGATAATTTTGTTAGTAACACAAAATCAATTCTCATGTACCTTACCAAGACATTCATTTTACAGTCATGCTAACATAAAAGTATGATTAGGTATTAGAAAGTCAGAATAATTAAGGAGCATGGTTATATGTGTGTATCTACAAGTTTTTCCTACGAACTTTTATACACAGAGTCACATACAATCGAAAGGCATTCCAAATATCATAAAACTGCTTCTAAAACACCTCTAAAAGTTACTCCCTTCATATTGTCCATACCAATGCGGCTGCGACGCATACCAGATTAAAAAACAAAAACAAATCTTAACATTTCAATGTCATGGTTCAAAATGTTGTGGTAACTGGTAGAACCGGTTTTCTACTATAACCTTCATTTGTATTTGTCTCAGCAACTTAATAGGCTCAAATATAACCATTATTGATTACTTATACTTATGGGCCTTATGGTTTCGTAGCTCTAAAGAAAATAAAGAAAAAAACGCCTTTTGTTTTTGTTGCACACGAGTTGTTTCTCTTTGTTGCGCAGGAGTTGAGATTTGTTTCGTCCTTATGTATTTTTGTAAAGGTGTGGCATTGTTTTCATATATTACACCTTTCCAAAATCATGATTGGTTATTGCTAGATATTTTTTCAGACTAAACATGTTTCATTTACTGATAATTCCCTTTTATCATAGTACGCCAATAAGTGTTCAGTTTATCAGCTTTATCTAACAATGATGCAATAAAACGTTAGTCCTTAACTTCTAAGATATAAGGACTATATTAAACTTCAGTTTAGAAGCACATGGTGTAACACGAGTGTTCAGCAGACGCGCAGGCGCATACATATAGGTCGTCGGCATTGTTACGTCACACACGATCTAATGGAAGATTTTGTTTGATTTACAATTACGAACCTTGAGTACATAGTAATATGAAGCATATCGTACATACATATACATTTGTATTTCAAATATATAAAAGCAATCTTGGATATAGGTCAATGTAAAAAAAACTACTATGTAAAAATAACCGTTATATTTAGCATTTGTTGTACTTCTAATGCGATGGTGTACTTGTGATGGGTACTATATGTATTTTTGGAGTCTTTGTTTTTCGTCTTGAATGAAATGAAAAGCAGTTTATTTAATTTTTATCTATCTATCAACATGAACAGTTCGTTATAGACCAATAAGCTTAATTTCTTCGGTTGTCAGGGGATAAAGAGGTAGAGACTGCATCTAAAAATGATCTGGATTATCAGAGAGATCTACTGCCCGGTCTCTGTCAATTGTGCAATCTTTTTGCCCGAAATTAATAGGTAAGCGATCTTAATCATTAAATCAAAGGCTAAGGACCAGGGGGTATCGGCGATGTAAAGCGATGCCGACCGATTTCGCCTGACATAATTATATGGCGACAACGGGCGACTTATGTCACAGTGATGTCGATGTTTTTTTACGGGGGGATAATCATCGAATCGCTTCTCCCTCATGGGTGAGGCGGGAGGGTGTGTCAGACTACTGACTAACAACCACTTCATTCATACTCCTGCGCTTCGAGCTAGCGATGTCGATGTTGCCAGACATGTCGACCAAATTCCGGCAACGTCGCGCTACTTCACCCAACGTCACTGCCGACGCGTGTCGCAGGACATTAGTATCTTGACTAATAAAAGCTCTGAATCCATCTCTGTTTTTGTGCAGATTCTCCATAAAACTAGTGTCATACAAAAATCGATCTTCATCCACAGATTTTGGACTAGTTTTTAATTAATTTCGTTAGTCGGCTCTTGCAACACACGCGAAAGGTGTAGAATTGGTGACAAAATGCATTCTAGTCTGCTTTTAACTTTTGAATCCAAGATTATAAAAAATTCCACATTTATTCATACAAAAGTAGTCTCTAATAATCTGAAATAACGTCTGTAATGGAGTAAATGGAGTGCAGTCACCGATGACCGCTTAGGGACGCGGCAGTAGTCCAGCCAGTAATAAAACCCATTCGTCATACAGCCGTAATTTATGTCTTCTATTGAGGGCTCGATTCAAAAACGTATTATTCAACTCGTGTAATACATATTCGGTAATGTGAATATAGTATCGGCACACACATCTAATAATGTATTCAATTCACATTAGCATACAATTACTTTTTCGATGACGCTAAGGCGCCTAGATTTGTACCCATATGTGCGCAACTGACTGTAACATTATAAATTCTTAGAATTCAATTTGTTTTCAATTTAATGCAGTGGTATAAGGAAATTTTGTGTTTAGGCATGAAACAAAGGCTTGTTATAGGTATTTTGATTATGAAAATGCATAAGTATTGAATAATATGGCTGTATTGTTTGTTAATTTATTCAATTTGTGCATATTACTAATATTAAATGTATGCATTTAAAATTATAATTAACGATATACGTATCTCGTGACCAGAGGACTGGTTTGTTCCTCGGTCAGAGGTTAAGCATTGCCATACAACGTGGCAATGCCTTCTGGGTACTTTCCGAGCTGACATCGATGCGGACGAATTTTTTGACGCTCTTTACTTTTGTTTTTTTAATATTCTTTGTAATTAGTTTCTATCTAAGTTTTGTAGTTTTAAATATTAGTAATATGGATATTAATAAAATAAAAAAGCAGTCAAATGTCAAAAAATACTTTGTAGAAATTGCATAGGTATAGCATTTATGTCGGCGTCTGCAGGATTCTGTAACAAATTACATGGTACCCTATGCTATGCAGTAGCGACCAATAGGATAAAGTTCTTGACCAATCTTGTTACATATATACGTATACCTACATAACTTCACGTCTGTCTCCCATGGGGGCAGGTAGAGAAAATGGAACGCCAATTCCTACGATTCCTACATACCTCTTTCACCCTCATTAATCTTTTCAAGGTTACCTCTTTACTAAGTTTAATTCAAAATAATTTAACTCGTCGAGTACCGGTTTGGTAGACACAATTATAGAACAATGGGTTGCGGTCACCAGTGACCGCTTGGTGTTTGACAGTTTAAATACACACACAAAAAGTTGTGAGTCATAAGATTGGTAAATTACATAACATCACGCCTTTAATCCCTGTGTATAGGGGTAATCAGAGGTGCACATTACGGCACTTAATGTCACTGTACAATGTAACAGTCACTTTTCACTATTAATGTTATGAGTCCCATGTAATAGGGCCTATTCTAGTCTAGTCTATTGCCATATACCGAGCACAATTTCAGACTCCGTGCTGCTCTTATAAAACTTTGCCCTACTCTGGAATCAAACCCGAGACCCATTGCTTGACAGCAGTCTCATTTGCAACCACTCGGCCAATGAGGTACATTGGTAAATTACTAAATGTATAAATATACCTACATAAAGTTAATTTAGGTTTGGCACTAAGTCTATCCAGATTTGGCTGAAGATGACCACAAAACTACTAGAAGCATGATTCTATTCCTATAAATATTATTATTAAAATATTAATGTTATACTTTTTAAATTACAGATGGAAATCATGGGTCAAAGTGTGTTCGAGTTCAGCCACCCTTGCGACCACGATGAGATCCGCGAAGCTCTGCGTTCCACCACATCGGGCCGTCGTGATCTGCTGCTCCGGCTTAAGTGTACCCTCACCAGCAAAGGGCGGAATGTGCACCTTAAGTCTGCTTCTTACAAGGTATTAAGTAGTTCTGGAAAGTTCTTTAAAGATTTCTAATTCAATCTGACGACAAGGTACTAGAATTTTAAAGAGCTATCAATATTAGTAATTATTATAGAAAGAACAGAATATGAGCCTTTAGCATGGCTTGAAACTAGTCGAGCTCCCCCTCAAACAGTTACGTGAGTAAAATAGAAAGGATCAAGAATATCAGTGATGGGGAAGGAACATAAAAACAAACCCTTTTTTACTCAATTAAATATATAGGATGTAGAAGGCCCTACCATTTTATTTGGTCTATTCTAGAAAATCGTTCAGTAGACAAAAATAAAAAACTTTAAACCTAAAATCAAGGCTTATAAGTAAGAAATTCGGTTACTCATAGACTTTGTTCAGTTCAGAGTATACCTACAACAACGCAATTCTGTATTTAAGCTAATAAAATACGTAGCAATATAAAAATAATTATGCACGCTGTTGCTTAAACTAACCGTTCCCTTTCACGACGTGAACCTTGGACCGCAGTCAATACGTTCATGTGACTCACTCATTCAAAGTGTGGACCAATAAGGTGGTCATGTTAAACTATTTTGTGATGACATTTTATAGTTTGTCATTGAAGCAGGGGCGTTACTAGCGCCGTGTTTGCCTTATCAATTATACGGGGCCCATGGTCTATGGAGGTCCTCCAACGTGCGATAGCAAAAATAAATGAAAACTTCCATATTTTTATTTAATTCAGTAACTACAAAAGTCAAATTAAATGTTTTTTTCCGACGACAGTAACTTTAGAAAAACTAAAGTTATCATAGTCTGATAATTTTGGCTAATAAGTTGTCTAGAAAGTATTCCGATTTGCACAAAAAAAATATTAGTATTTTTATGCCAAAAATTTTGTCGCTTGTGAGAAATCTTTATCCTTCATAAGGCTAAACAAATTTTTATACGGGACCCCGCCGAGGCGCGCTACGCCACTGCATCAAAGTAGAGTCAATGGTTATGTTGGACTGAACCTCCATACAACGAATATCAAAAATCAATCCATATCCACAGATTTAGAATACTGCTACTTTACCTGATCATGGAGTTCTTCAAGAAGGGAGTGATAGATTTTTTAAGGGTCGGCAAGGCGCATGTTATGTTCCAAGTGTTGCAAGCGTATATAGGCCCGGAGTCGCGGAGAACCTAACGGGTAACCGGGGCTCCGGCTCGACGTGCAGGAGAAGGAACGGGGTGGTTTTTAGTCAGTAAGAGTCTGACACTCCCTCCCGCCTCACCCAGGCGGGAGCAGTCATTCGATGATTTTCCGCCCTTAAAAAAAAAGCGTATATAGGCCACGGTAAGCGCTTGCGATCAGGTAGGCCGTGTGCGTGCGTGTTTATTGCCACCGTCGTAGTAAATAAAGAAAAAAACCTGTTCCTAACCATGAATATCATGACAATCAATGTCTCACATCAAACATTATAACTAAAAGTATAAACAGCACAAAAAACTGAGTATTCCAGTAGTTTTATGGCTCTGTAAATATCCATGTTTACTTAACTGAGATAGTATTAGGTAACCGTTTTATTGGCGGAATTTATTAACATTTGGCGGTGGCGTAGTTGTAAAAAGCTAGATGTAGAAGTTAGGTATATGTAGGTACCACTACTTATGATATGGTCAACATTGTTGCTAAGTATAAAGTGGGTACATACAAAACATCATAAATTATTTTAAAGTTAAATGTAGTCCAACTTGGACAGTTGTGTCTTTATTTTTATCGTAACTATCGTGAGACATCTAAATTAACTAATTTCGAGTGACAGGGAGCCTCTTCCTCTAGAGCAGCCGACGTCGCGCAACTAATAGGCTGGAAGTATCCAATAGTTGTGTCTTTAATAGTAAAATAATGATACATACTGCCATTGAACGCAGGTTTATTATTGGTACATTTGTATGTCATTAGTAAATTATTACATTCAATCAAATTATGAACATGGTGGTCCCGTGGCCCAAATGTTTAATACGCCTGCTTCTCATGCATGAGGTTGAGGGTTCGAAACATACCAACAGCAAGTACCAATGTGACTTTTTCCGAGTTATATGTACTTTCTAAGAATATTTAGACACCACTGACAAACGGTGAAGGAAAACATCGTGAGAAAACCTGGGTTTATAATTTATAATTATAAGTTGGAAATTGCCAACCCGCATTGAGCAAGAGTGGTTATTAAAGCTCTAACCTTCTACAGCTGAGAAGAGGCTTTGCTGAGCACTGGGCATTTGTAGGCTGTTGATGATGATGAAATCAAATTATGCAATAACATAAATTATACTTTCTACAAATAAGTTCACTATACAAGTAAAATTGAAAGTGCCTGTATTCATATTGAATGAATACCATGTCCAATATTGACATGACTTCTATTAAATACTCATTCCGGTTTAAATCAATAGTAGAAGTCAAATGTGGAAGTAAACGACTCGTATATTTTACATATGGTGTTATAACTCAGTTCAAAGACCTTTTTGATTATTTGAAAATATTTACCAAATTCTGACAATCTCATGGCACTATAAGTAAGATAGGAAATAGATGGTAGGAAGTTAATGGTGGACCAACAGAGGAACGACTTAAAAAATCATATCATAAGAAAGAAAGTAGTAATAAAGTCAGGTATTTATATTAAAACTTTCGTGAGACACACTAAATTAATTATTATGTTTTTGGCTTATTCAGTAGCTATTTGACGAGGAACTCGACTACTAATGCTGCTCATGAATATGGGCCTCTAGCATGGCTTGAAACTAGCCGAGTTCCTCCTCAAACAGTTACGTGAATAAGCCGAAAACATAATAATTAAAGTCAGATATGAAGATTATTTACCTATTCTTATTATTTAAGAACGCTTGTATGGTAAGTGCTTGAACATGATGGAAGTTAAAGATGTAAGGATCGTCCTAGCTGGCGCTTTAGACCAAACGTAGTTCTAAAAAAATTGGTAAAAGTAAGTGCTATTTAAACGTCATAAAGAGTATCCGTAGTATAAATATATACGGATATTGATGGACATACAAACAGAGTGCTGAACTAAATTATTGTTTGTTTAATTTAAACTTAGTCTGCGTGTACTGAATATTTGCCTTGAATATCAATCGTTGCTCATTATTTAGATATTGGTTTATTGGTAGCCTGATATGATGTATTTAGAACTCATGTATTCACCTAGAATTAGGCGGTGGAAGGCAGACGAAAGTGAGTCTTGATACAAATTAGGCTAGAGTATCAAACTGAAGATTAAGCGCTAGTTCGAAGGAAATATGAAAGTGAAAGTTTCATCCATGAAAAGCAGAACAAAAGTAAATAACATGCTTGAATTTGTTTAAATTCTATAATAGTTATTGCGATTAAAGAGAAAATGCCCTGCTGTATAATTTTTCGCTTGTCACAATTGAAAAGCTACAGTTAATCGCAAAAATTGTTTGAAGAAAAAGCATCGTTATTCGCTATTCTTACAACTTTATACTTGAATACAAAACTATACTTCAACTATTAGAATGTGTTAATTTGTTTTTATAATAACTATCGTGTGGCATACTAAATTAACTAACTAAATTCATACTAAATAATTATTCACGTGAAAATATTGAGAAAAGCTCTACTACTTTCGAACTACAGAGGGGTTCTTCCTCATGAGTAGCGTGTACGGTCGCGCAGCCTACTCGTGTGTGTTAATTTGACAAAATACCCATTAAGTTCTAATTGCCACTACATTACTATACCATCACTCTTCATAGCGCAAGCAAATAAAAAAATAGAAACTCTAAGCCCCCTTCTCTATTCCAGGTGATCCATATAACTGGCCACATGCTAACACCAACTGACAAGACAGAACGCAACAACAATGATGACAAAAAACCGGATCTTGATGACAAGAAGGTGACCAAGAATGGTACTCTAGTGGCAGTGGGCAGGCCCATACCTCATCCTTCTAATATAGAGATACCTCTGGACAGCAAGACGTTTTTGTCGAAACATAGCCTGGATATGAAGTTCAACTATGTGGATGAGGCGTGAGTATACTTTGATACTATTTTTAGCTATGCTAGGGTAGTTGAAATGTCTTGAGCCTATGAGAACTTTTTAGGAGTCCTAGATATACCATTTTGGTGGATTAAAATCTCGAAAAAGGCCTGACGCAGAGTACTTTTAACTGGCATGACTTGACATAGTAGAAAGTAGAACGTACCGTGTCTAAGAATCAGAATAAATGGTGCTTTTTAGTTGCTGCCTAGTCCGACGGGCATAAGATGTAGATATAGATGACTCTTCAACAAAGAGTGATTTAGTTTTCTAAAGTCTAGTTATGGACTATCTTGCTCTTCACTAATAATTATTTGTGAAGAAACAAAATTCTAAAAGGTTTTCTATCTGATGGGGTTTAATGGCATGAAAGGCTAAAAAACGTGTACTAAAACTAAAATTGTGTGGATCTGTGTTTGTTTTGTATGATTGGTGAAGTCAACTACACTAGATTTGTTTTTGAAAAGACATAAATGTCTCAATTTTCAATAATATGGTTGCTGATTAAGATATTAACTGCGGTAAATAACATTGTTATGTTCGGTAACGGAACTTGTCGTACTTATTTTATGTATTTAGGGCAACTCAATCATTAGTACTACGTCGTAAATAAGGTTAATAAAAATATATATAATAAAGGAAGCAATAAAGTAATGTTCCCCACGGCCAGAAAAATTAGGGTCACAGTTCCTCAAGAGCAAACACAAACTTGCTAGACATAATAATGCCGGGAAAGATCAAAAGATGGCGCTGTTGCCAAACAAATCGACCGTATTACCTGACCGAATTTAAGTAGCGTATAAACTATTGTGTTGTAGCATTTACGGCGGGCAACTTCAACCAGCCGTGTAATATCAACAAAAATATCACCTTCAAATGTATTTTGTAGGTTAAACATGATGCGATTTCGCGGTTTTGTACACAGTCCGCGATAAACTTACGTGGAAAGAGTTCAGTACTCGATGTTTCTATGTGTGGTGATGTGTGTTTGTTGCAGTGATAACAAATAGTGTGTTTGTGTTTTTAAATCGTTTGTATTTTGTGTGTTTCTCTTTCTGGATACTGTGAGAATGGCGGGATATTTAAATTGCACAGCTGTAAGTGGTTTTTTGGATTTCTGTGGGTGTTAAATGGGATTTATTGATTGATTTTATGTTGTAAGCACGTTTTGTTGATAAAATATTGCATATGAGCAAGGGGCGACGATGGGAGTGGCGGTAGGTCATTCAAGGTTATCTATGTAGGTGTACCGGCAAGCATGTTCTAAGCATGGGGATTACAGGTCACATTAGAGGTGACCTTTGGATTTCAATGGCTTCCTGTGTCTAATTTTGAAATAACTGAAGTTGACAATGATAGCCGCGAACTAAATGTACCAATTTGCGTTAAAGTTGTGAAATATTTGTAGGTGAATATATATATAGTGCCTTTTTACTATTTCGTTAGGTATAAAAATATTAATTTGTTAACTGCCTAGCTTGGGCACATATCAAATCCCATTAATAACACATTTTTAACTGTTTGACGGTTGACATTAAAAACCGCAATAGTCAATATATAAACTTTCTTCTTTAAATTATTATTATGAATAAAACTTTTTAATTTTTACATGTGAAAGTACTCTAAGTACATATCAAAAATAGCAAATAAATTTATTTTTCATTCAAACTTTATTTTTCTTTCTAGATTGATGAGCACTCTCGGTTACGAGCCGGACGAGCTAGTCGGCCGTTCCGTATACGAGTACCATCACGCAGCCGACGCCGCATCCTTAGTCCAGCAGTTCAAATCACGTAAGTATTTATATACTATACCTAATAAATAATACAAAAAAAATCACGATTACAACACATTACAACAAAAATCTAACTGTGAAGCAGCGCCATCTCTTGACTGGGAGTCTCGTCTGTTTCTGTTGTTACTATCGTGGCTTGTTTGAGCAAATAGTTAGCTATAGTTAACATAGATGGCAGCACTACAAAAGCGTGATTAACCATTTCTAAGAAGGATAGTAATTATTTTGTTTATTAGCCGGTTAAATAGCATTATATGAATGCAAAATATTATTTTTGTAGCTTTCAGAAATACAGAGACGTACTTTGATGTTCTTATTTTGGTTATAACGACGTTGACTGATCAAAATGTTCTCTTCTAACTACAATTATGGTTTTAGGTACACTTTGTATTTACATTGGTAAAAATATTGTCTGTAAAAACTCATCTCAGTAACTTTAGTATTATCGAGTAGGCAGTGTAGGTACCGGAGGCCCAATAACCCCCCCCCCCATTTCCCTAATCCCTGAATCCCCAACAATCCAGAAGGCCGGTAACGCACTTGTAACGCCTCTGGTGTTCCAGCTGTCCATGGGTGACGCTGATTGCTTACCATCAGGTGATCCGTCAGCTTTTTTACCGGCTTATCCCATAAAAAAAGTGTGCGTAGGTTCCAAAAATTATCTTCTTAACGTTGTTACATTATTTTTAAGTTTGTAACAATATAAACAAGTACAAAAGTCTTAGGCAATTATTTATTATTGTCACAGAATATTATAATGTTTATACTTATATTATTAATACTTAAAATTATCAAAAGTCTTATTGAATTTCAAGTGTTACAGACCAAAAACATCGGGTTTAAAATCAAAATTATTTCCTACCCCTCTTTCTCTTTCATAGTTATCGAGTGTCTGTTGGAGAAAATTGTTTCTAACGAGTAGACGTCGATTTTGTTCCTCCAAACAATCGATGGCTTCTCGTAACAGTTTAACTTCAGTCATTAATTTACTTTCTAGTGGTGTTCTGACTTGGTTCTCGAAGTTTCCTTCATTTGGTGCATTCCCACTACAGTTTTCCCCTGCTTGTCCTTGAATTTGATGTTCCTGTATTTGAACATACGGCTGAAAAACATAATATTGACTTTCAATAGTTTCAATCAAGTTCACAAATACCTATACTACTCAATAATCTTTCAAAATCCTCAATAAAACATTTGATGCCATTATTGTAATAAGCATAAATTACTCTGAACATTTGTTTGTGTTTAAAAAAGATAAAAAAACAAATAATAATTACCGCTGTAGTCCTAACAACATTGACGGGAGCTAAAATTTGATTAACAATCTGTGGTGCAATCCTCAATCCGGTGCTTGATTGTGGAACGACAATTATATTTGTTGGAATAGACTGACTTATGTTCGGTACTACAGTGTTCACTGCTGGTAACTGGTTTACTATGACAATATTAGGCGCTTGTTCCTCGTCATCGCTTGATTCCGAAATCTCGTCTGGTGGTGGCTGCGGTAAAAAAAAATGATTTTTTTATACCACGACGGTGGCAATAAAGCACACGGCCCACCTGATGGTAAGCGGTTATCGTGGCCTCTGTACCTACGCCTGCAACACTTGGGACATTACATTAAATTGTTATATGTATTACTAGCAGCCCGTCCCGGCTTCGCACGGGGTAGACAATTATATTATTTTTGGAAATTTGGATTGTTGTAGTGACATAACTACAATAGTTGGATATACGCTACCGCGGAGTTTTTTGTAGACATTATGATGTTCTTCAATATTGTTATACATTATTTTGTTCTATCGCTAATAGTTTCGGCAGCGCATTCGACGAAAGACATTTTAAGACTCATTTTTCTACACCTTCGGTTACATTGTTCAAATTTTACCAAGGATCCCTAATTTTTTTCGAAATGAAATGTAGCCTATGTCAAATTGGAAGAATGTAGCATTCTATTGGTGAAAGAATTTTTTAAATCAGCCTAGTAATTTTTGTGCTTATTCATTACAAACATACAAAAATAGGTACAAATCTTTCCTCTTTATAATATTAGTATAGATAATCTTCCCAAGTAACGACATTTTTGAAAGATGATCGTAATTTTTACCAAATTAATGTCTGGGAAAGCTTCCGAAACTAGTCTCTTTAAACCTTTATTCGTCGTCCAGTAATTTTTCTCATCGAAATGTAGTGAGCATACTCTTGTGCTTTCGTTTATGTTGTCTTTTTGTAGTGACTGTATCCATTTGCTACGCACATGACGATTTTTTGGTACCCTGGGGAAACAATATAATGTATCAGTCGGAATTGCGATAAAACTTATCAATAAGACTAATTTTCTAAAAACTCAACGCATACAATACTAGTAATAGTAGGTACTTAATAAATGAATAGCTTACACGTAAATTACGAACAATTTTAATACAAAATTAAATACAACAAAAACAAAAAGAGCATATATACGGTCGAATTGAGAACCTCCTCCTTTTTTTGAAGTCGGTTAAAAAATAAAAAAGAAAACCTATTCAAATTTCAAATAATATAATTATTCGAATTCAAATGCGGCCCTGACTTCAATCAATACCATCCGGCTGCAGCCATGTTTGTTCGCGATCGCGCGACTTCACAACATTTACTAGAAATTCACAAAGAACTAAAACGTTAAAAACTAACCTGTGGAAGTGAATATCTCCTGCCCCATGATTATGAACATCGGATCTCGAACTGCAACCTCTAACTGCACACTGAACCATAATAAAACTTGAAAATATGATTAAAAATGCCACACAAAAAATAACGCCACGCTGCCGACTACAGTAATGGCGCCGCGCTGTGTTTACCAGACGACCAACGCGCGGGATTGGTTGGTGCCGCCTCTGACGTTCGGCGCCATTTTGAGTTTCACGCGCACCACCTAGCGGATATTACTTCTTTATTCGAAGACGACAAAGTATGCGAGCGAACTACGTCACGCGCTGTCAATATATTGTTTTGATAAACAGTAAGATGTCGTTTACAAGTTGTTACGTTAGTTAAATACTGTAACAAGATTCATGTAGGTACTAGATATCCATGAAGCAATTGTTTGTTGATTCTAACTGTTTATTTAAAGAACCTATGTTTATTAGGTACTTTATTCATAGAACTTCAAGTAGTCTTCAATTAAGTGCGTATTTACATTGTTGGTTACAACATTCTGTAGATTGATCGAGTAGTCTTAAACTATCATAGTAGGTACCTAGTTGGGTATTCTTTTCTCAGACCTATATTTCAACAAGCGACTTGACTCGTGGAATCATATAAAATAAGATACTGTTCAATCTTATCCAAGGTCTTGCGTATTTGTGTAGCTCTATGTTATGTTAAGTATTTGTTATTTAAATCTTTAAGCGTAACAAATAGACACGCGTTTTTGTATAATACTAGTTAGGATATACAAAAAAATTTGTTTACATTTCTTGTAGGTAACGTTGATAAATGTTCACATTGTCTTCTATTATCATAATTTTTTCTATGTTACTGATTAGAGTACTGCTGTACCTATTGTACACGTGGATCTGTGTTTGTTGTTTTTGCGAGGTATAAGTTTTTTTGTTATCAAACCGTTTTGTAGTTAGGTAGCTACATTTTATGAAATCTAATTATCTTCGACGTCTTATCGCGCGGTTTTAATCTTATGATCAGGCGATAGCGTAGTTTGAATAACACCTTAAGTAATACTGTAACAGTGTTATGTCACTGCATTTTTGTATTTAACTCGTCGAGTACCGGTTTTGTAGACACAATTATAGAACAATAGGTTGCGGTCACCGGTGACCGCTTGGTGTTTGACAGTTTAAGTTAAGAATTTACAACAACAACTAAATGTGGGAGAGTCATGCTTCGGCACGAATGGGCCGGCTCGACCGGAGTGATACCACGGCCTCACAGAAGACCGACGTGAAACAACGCTTGCGTTGTGTTTCGTCGTATGAGTGAGGTTACCAGAGGCCCAATCTCCCCAATCCCCGAATCCCCAACCATCAAATCAAACTCTTAATCCTCAAAAGGCCAGTAACGCACTTGTAACGCCTCTGGTGTTCCAGGTGTCCATGGGTGACGCCGATTGCTTACCATGTGACCCGTCAGGTCGTTTACCGGGTTATGCCATTAAAAAAAACAGGCGAAGAGTATACAACGATATCGCTGCTGCATTCATTGCCCATAGGTTAAAAAATTTAATTCAATGGAACTTCTCAACTATATCTAGTCAAACATTTATATACGAACCGTGGAACGGTTTTGAAATGACAACTACTGTTAAGCTTTTTTACTAATTCTCTAAAGGTAACTAAAAAGGTACTTATTTATTATCGGTTAAAAACTATGAATTAGTCACTTTCTGGGGATTTTGAGTTTACTCATACAATTGCCTTGTGTTTCTCTTGACCTATGTCATTGAAACTAAAGATAAGATATAATATTAAACCAACTGTAGGCTGGTTTTTCGAACCGTATATGTAGTTAACGGTAGCCTTTGGACAGTTGCAACTTCAAAGGTGTTGTTTACGCGTTGCAAACCCTATAATGCTGTTTGTTTATTTTGATACAATATTGTAATAATCAGATTCGATTTGCATCAGAATTAATATAATATTATGCAGTATCTTTTTAATGGGACAAGCCCACCACAAACTACCAAAACCGCTACAACTCCTGTAAGCCAGGATCTACAGTAGATACAACCATGAAAACATCGGAACTCAGAAGTCCGGCGCGTCTCAGGGACATAAGTAACTGTCTTGGTTCTCACAAAGAAGTGAATCAGAAGATATTATAAGAGGAGAAGAAGAAAAAACGATAGTTATGCAGTATATACAGAACCCAAATAACACAAACGTGTCCGTAATATCAAATCAATCTTAATTCCAAGTCGACTTTAAAAAATTGAACCGTGGAGCTCGTCAAACTGGAACCGAACCGGTTTAATACTTAGGTACCTACTTAGTGTACAACATACGATTGCTTACCTATACATACGTAGGTAGGTAGGTATTACGTAAAATTGGGTACAAGTCATGCAACTTGTATTTTTCAGACCTGTTTTGCAAACTGGATTGTCTATCTGTAGCCTTGTTTCTTCTTGATTAAAAGAATTCATTGTGACTGTTTGAGGTTTCATTATGGACAGTCATTTTAAGTCAATTTTATCATGATGAGTCAGGATTTGTGCCTGGTGATATGCATAACATAATATCTAGTTAGCAAAAAGGTGTGACCAATTCAAGAAGTTCTGAGAAGTTCAAGAACGACCTTTTGGACGGAGGCCATGGATTGCTATCCTGTAGTTACGCCACTGGGTGTAATATTATTAAGTACTATAATACAGCCAAATTTCCTAGACACACTTCAGACCATACAATTTTTGGTGGTGTAGTATTTAACATTGATAACGAGTAACTCAAAGAAATAACAGTTACGTCTAATCCATCTATGAAATCTGATTCATAATCTGTGGTCTTACATAGTAGATAGAAACAATCGATCGGGCACGTGTTAATAATTACGTCGTAAAGTTGAGGAAATGACAGGCGGTTGACGACTCGTTCGTTTTACGATCAGTGAACAGACGAACGCAGAATTTCTCGTTTATTACATTCAATTTTATCTCCTTTTATATTGAAAGAAAGATCGTGGTAACCAATTAAAGACATTCCTATCTCTTAGTCTTGCCAACTTAATTGGTTTGAAGTCTTAGCCAGATTTTGCTGAATTACTGATTGTCTGTATTCTTCTTCGACTACACTTAAGCTTTTGCCATTTATCCTCCACTACAAAGGAGATCTTCATTTATAATACAACGCGTCTCGTCAAATATTTCCTTTCCGTCATCGTACAACAAGACAATTGGCGAAGCGTCACCGATTCATGGTAGATGTCCCACCCTTACGCACGAAGCGCTTCGCATCAAGCTTCCTTGTGCGTACTGCTAAGGAGTGGAATTCTTTGCCAGAGTCTGTATTTCCTGAAGGGTATAACCTAGGTGTCTTCAAGGCCCGAGTGAGTGGTTGCTTATGGGTCGACGTACTCCATCGTAGGCCACATCATCGAGGCGAGATAGTGGCCAAACGTCAGTCACATCTATAAAAAAAAAAAATCTTTCATGTTCTATCACTGTGATCCTTATAAATATCATTTGTACTATTACAAGTAATTAGTTTTGCAAACCACTAAAGAAAATAATGATATACCTAGATACTGTATTGTTTCCTATTGTTAGATGCTGTAGTAGTAAGTCGGAAGAAAAAAATAACACTTAATGAAGACTAAGGTTCTTCAACGACAATACTGGCCTCTACGGCACTATGTTCAATTACTTTTGCCTTTTTGAAATAAAGAAGGCTGCTAAATTTCTTTTCATGCTCGTTAGACATAAAACCTAAGATTTATTTCGTGTTGTTCATTAGGTACTTGTAACCTAACCTTGAGTACAGCTGACAGATCATATTTTAAATTCATTAATTAACTAAATACGTACAGTGGCTAGCAGGTCAACCTATCCGTTTATGTCTATTACATCTTCAACTTTATTGTATTGACATAAAGTAGAAAATTCAATGAATAAATAATACAGATTGGGTAGGTTGATATGCTGGCCACTATACCTTTGCTTACGTATCGGTTAATTAACGGAAAATACTCACGAAGTGTCGTTAACCGTTAGGTATTGTTAGTTCATTAATTGATTAGTAAATTAGGATAGACAAATGTCCCTGCGGCCCTAAGTGTCGGTTTATTACCAGTGTTTTAATTAAGTCTATGTGCTGATTGATGGTGTGTTTTAAGTGTCGGAGAGTCATGCTTCCGCACGAATGGGCCGGCTCGACCGGAGTGATACCACGGTCTCAAAGAAAACCGACGTGAAGCAATGCTTGCGTTGTGTCTCATCATGTGAGTGAGGTTGCCGGAGGCCTAATTACAACCGGGGAGGGTTTCCCAATCTCTCCAATCCCTGAATCCCCAGCAAACCTCAAACTTCTAATTCCCAAAAGGGCGGTAACGCACTTGTAACACCTGGCGTTCCAGGTGTCCATGGGCGATGTCGATTGCTTACCATCAGGTGATCCGTCTACTCGTAAAAAATAAAAAAAAGTTAGCTTCTATTGTTTTTCTACTAATAGATTTATTTACTCGCATTCTACTCGAAAATTCAGAAAAATCACACTTAAATCTACCTATCTCCAAATTTTATCCAAATGCGCCTAGCCATTTTTGTGTTATTGAGTAACATGTATCCAGCCATCCCATCGAGTTTATATGTTAGCAAGAAATACAATTTTATTCGTTTGAATGGAACAATTTGTCAAGGAGTCAATGTCCCTGTTATAAAACCTTTGCTGTCCACCTGTCACATGATTGTACGTTTAGAATTGTTAATACAAGACCTAGAAATTCTGACTGATGTCTATCAGTCACTAATCTACTAGTCTACACAGTCTACTAATACATGTCTATGTATTAGTAGACTGTAAGGCCAATGTTACAAATAATTAAATAATAGATGGATCATACCAACTTTCGTTTAAGTTCTTTGCCCTCAAGACAAATGGTGTTTAAACATTTATCGAGGATTGACATTCGATTGTTTTAATCTCTTTTTCGGATTAGCGTTTAATTTTAAATAGTCAGTTCTCTAGGAAGGTTGTACCCTCGACTGAAGACGAGGTAGCAATTCATAAAATTTACTTACTTGGACGTAATACTAATTTTTCACCGCGACAAGTCCTCTAAGCGGTCCCCTACACTTCCCATGGAACTCCATGCTAAATTCAGACTTCCTACGACCTATAATATATTAATATCTGCTATACAGCATGTTGCGAAATTCTAATGCAGATTCAGTTGACATACGACCATGTTTAATAACCTCGATGTCTTCGTACGTGACATAAACTCACTGTGTCAAAATTCCATATCTAGTAAGCAAAAAATTCCATATCTAAAGATTGATTGAATTGAAACCCCTCAAAGGATCTAGGTCTTATATTTATGTTGTCCTGCATATTGATGTCAAGGTTAAACAAAATATGTAGATTAAATAGACAAAAAGTTACGATATTTATTCTTGGCTACTTAGTGAGACGAGAAGGAGTGTCAGACTCTTACTGACTAAAAACCACCCTGTTCCTACTCCTGCATTTCGA